ACCTAAGTTTTGAATAACTATAAATAACATATGTTTCAATAGATAATGTGAAGTGTGTACTACTAGAATGCATCAAGGAGACATTGGGAAATAGAAGAATTAAAAATATGGCTTAAATCAAGAATAACTATTAATTTCAACAATCATTTAATTATTTTATTTTTGATTTTTGGTTAATATTATATTAATAAGAAAAAGGTTGACAGAAATAGTTCAGAAAGTTAAAAATTTAAGGTACATGTCATTTTGACAAGTTGTGAAAGTTTAGCTCAGTAGAAGGATCTTCCTCTTTCATTTGGGTAATTTTTTGAGTGTTAGCTAATAGGATAGTTCAAATTTGAAGTAGGCAGGTGTACATTGGTTTGTAACAATTGAGTAAGGGTTGGTGCTAGATAAGTATTGTTTGTGATGGTTAAGACGTTAAGTATGGTTTGTAATAGTTGAGAAGGGTCGGTACTAGGTAAGTATCAATTTGTAATTGATGAGAAGGGAATTGTGCCACTTGAGTATTGTTTGTGATGGTTAAGGGTGTGTAACCATTTATATCAATTTAGTTTTGGTTGTAATAGTTGAATATAGGTTAGTATGGTTTGTATCAATTGAGTATCGGTTTGTAATGGTTGAGTATTGGTTGGTAATGTTTTGTAACAGTTAAGTATCGGTTTGTAATCGTTGTAGCTGTTGATTTGTAACAGTTGTATTGATACAGACTGATACTCCTACCTTTGTTACTTTGTATTTTAAGTTTTTAACAACTGAGAGAGAGAGGGATCAGAGGCATCTTCTCAAACTTTGAGAATTCCCAAACTTCATCTTGATTGGTATACCCATGGGTCTTTATGATCTCGGATATGGACATAATAACATGATTCCCCGAGCTATAGTGCCGGAGCATTGCTCACAGAGGACTCAGCGATCAAAAGAACGCCGAAGAAGAACAAAATAGTTTAATCATCCAATAATTTTTTATTCACACATTCTGTGATATTTATAAGGCTGAAAGCCGTTATTGGATGATTAAACTATTTTGTTCTTTATTCACACAATTCACCTAACCACCACCGATAAAGGTTAAGACAGAAAACTTGTAGGCACATACTACCCAATGTGGGCACCATAAACATGTTTGATTTGAATCTAGGCAAAACCAATGTAGAATGAATTAGAGGGTCCTCTTCATAACCCCCAAAATCATTGAAAACATTTGAAACTGAAGAACAAATGGGCGGGTTTTCTCTGATGTCATCAGAAGGCACTTCCTTCAAAAGAGTGAGGGCCAACTCTAAGAATTGGCGTATGTGACCAAGAGTTTTTGGGTTCCTCAAGATGTTGTGGACAAATATGCCTTTACTTATCTCAATAGCTGGTCCTACTTGCCCACCTCTTTGCAAGTTGCTGGTTGCTTGGTTGCAAGGAACCACATCCCTAAGGAAAATATCCATCTAAACTCCCAAAAAATAAAAGAGACTTGAATTACTTTCTTTGGTGAGGACGTAGCTGAGGCAGGGACAGTTACGACAATGACAAATCTCTTCTTCGTAGCAACAGGATGAGCACTAATTAATCCAACTCCAAACTACTTGATCATACTCACAACAACAACATCCACCAAGATATAGGATATGGCACCACTGGAGATGCTAGAATGGACAAGGTGAACAATGACTACGTTAATGGCGCTTCGATTCTCACCATTACCTATCATTTCACCCTTTCATTGTTGACCTGTGTCTAGAGGTCCTGTTGGAAGCAAAACCCAAATCATTGAGTCTGCCTTAGCCATTTTGATATCACTGTCAATGATCGGAAAAATTTGCCAACATCGCAACATCTTGGTGGGAGCAAGCATACGTCCAATGTGATGTCTGTTGTTGAAAGTTCCTTGACCACCGGGCTTAACTCCAACAATGAACCGGAACTCATGGCTGTCACTAGGGAGCAAAGGTGCCTTCATCATCACTGGTCTGTCATTAAGCAATCTCCTTACCTTGCATCTAATAGTTTGCTTGAATTGTATTGGAAATGATAATTCGGGTCATGAGTGCGACCGAAGGATGTTGAGGAATGCTATACAAAGGAGGGTTCCACCCACTGAAATGGAAGGGGAATAGAACAAGGATATGTAAAACTAGAGGGTGAGGAGAGGTGGGTTTCAGGCGGCATGGTAAAATGGGTCGGGTTATGGTTGTTGCCAACGAAAATGATGACCAGAGGTTGAGCAATTGAGACAGCCCTTTGCTGGGTATGGACGGGCTCGGTTTAAGGGAGAGAGTGAGAGAGGAGAGAACAGGGGCCAGGGGGTCGAACTACATGGATAGCCGTGGATGGGGTGACGAATTGACTAGGGTTGGGATGCTGGTAGATCTTGGCTGGGGGTATAATCTTCACACTGCCCTTTTGAACCACCTTCCTATTCTGCCACCTAACTTCGTTGAGCTTGGTGCTAGGGTTGAAGCCTCAACTTTTGTTGACGATCCTAGTGTCGTTATTGTTTTCCAACGCTCTCAGTCAGCTTCGATTCTCCATAGTGTTGATGGAAGGAGTTCGGTGACTACGCTCTTATAGAGAACCGACCATTGTGCCAAGCTTGTCTAAAATCATCGTCAGCTTGGCCAGAATTCCTTCCTGAATCCTCTGATTTCTCTCAAGAAGACAGAGACGGTTTTCAAGCCTTGTCATCCACACATCCATGGATTTGGATGACTCTGATACCAAACAATGAGCCTATTGCGTGTATAAACAATTGTATACATCAACATTCATATAAAATAAAATTTTAAGATTTTTTTTTTTAAATATTGTCTATTTTATTAATTTACTTTAATTTTTTTTCAATTTTTTAAGAAAACGTACCTCTCATGGTTTGGCCTGGTCCATGGCCCAGCCTGACCCAAGACTTGGCCCATGGACCAACTTGGCTCATGGCACGACACGGGTCATGAGCTATGCAGACCGACTCTCAAAGTATCCTAAGCGAGAAAAACACGACCTGACTCAGCCCGTCAAAAGCACAGGCCATGCCTTGCCACGGTGCCAGCCCGATTTACACCTCTAATGGAAATCATAATCCTCCAGCCATGATCGACAAAAAAGCTACGTAGCACTGCCGCGTGCTCTATAATTTCTCTTGTTTTTCTTCTAATTTTTCCACTGCACCAATTCACTGTAGATTTTGCTGCAGACCCAATAGAAAGGCACTCTCTATCTCTTCTTTGCACGGTTGGTGGCCTTCTCTCGTGTGATAATTAACCCGCACCACAAAACATTCCATTATGCTTCTCGTTTTTTTGCTATTCCTGTTTCTGTTTAAATTAAAAATGTCGATAAACCAACCAGAAACAATGTGACGGCGATTCTAAAAGAAGAGAGCTGACATCTTTTGGGGTTAAAATGAGAGATCATGATGGTTTGCTTATGGGAGTCAAGCATGGGCTGAGTTCTGCAGTTTCTCCACAGCTGGCTGAAATTTTAGCGCTTATTGTTATTTATTTTTTTTCTGGTAGAAAAACGGTTCCATTCAACCAACCAGAAGCAACGACATACAAAGAGAACAATGAGCACAAAGAAACTACAGGACCAAGCAACTGAGAAACATAACACAGCATACGGTCCCCTTCAACACTTGCATTCTTAATGTTTTGGCCTTTTAGGAATTTTAAACACTATAACTCAAAAACAACATTAAATTTCTTTAACATTTGCATCCCAGATCTTATTGCATTCTCATCAATCTGCTTACTGGGTTCAATCTTCAATCTCATTTTGCCCACTCACTTGATTTTCATCTGATTATCGATGTTAATGTGGCTGCTTTGTTTGAAAAGCCTAGTGACAGGTGGGTTATGATTTGGGGAAGGGAACTGGGGAAGGAGAGGGTTAAGTCTGACGAAGGAAACGGGAGATAGGTTCATGATGTTTCAAAAAATATGAAAAGGTTTAACACGTGATGCTTATAGTGTCCATTGGTTATCACAGGCGGTGGCCTTTCATTGAATATACTGCTATTAGATTAAAGCAGATCCGGACTCCTCTCTCCTGTCTCACCTCCACTCCCCTGCCTCCTGCCTCCCCATCAAATATTTGCATTCACAAATCACTAACCTTTTTCCTAGATAGTGATTTTTCCAGAAAACCATTTATTTTCTTAACTCTGTTCTCCCTCCAGTTAGATTTTGTTTTGCTTTGTTTTTTTTTTGACAGAAGGAACTATTCGTTAAAGTTGAAACATTAGGTACATCAGTCTGTTTACAAATCTGTCAAAGCAAGCTGCATAAGAAAATAGTTGTTTTTTATACACACCGGGAATAGAAAAAAAGGAGAAATTGTTTTAGGTTGTGTTTGGTTTGATAGCCTTGGGGAAACAGAAAGTTCTATCAAACCAAACATAGCCTTGGGGAAACGTCACCAAATAGTACCTGGAGGTCCTGGACTCAAAACAGTTTATTTAGACATGCTAATGCAAGGCCATTCAAAATAGGCTAGGGTAGTGATTGTTCAGGAAAAAGAAATCATGCCAATGAATCTGTTCTTTTTGACTGATTTTTTTTGTCTAAACAAATATCAATTAAACAAAGTGTTCATATTTTTTCTCCAAGAAAAAGCAACATTAAGGATATGAGAACATATGGCCAACTACTCTAGCAGGTATGATACTCAAAAAAGTCAAGGCAATTCCGCCCACTATAATTGTAAATGGTCAAACAGATGACAAAAGGCTCAGATTCCATGGCATTTTACCTCATGTTTCTAGAAACGTCTTTACCCTTCGAGCAATCAAATCCTTGACTCTTAATTTTGAATTTCTGATTTTAAACCAGAAGACTGAAAACCTCAAATTTCTGTTGCGCTTTATCTCTTTAAATGGTATCTTGTTACAGTCGTTCTCAAATCCGACAGTGGGAAAGAACCATGTGATTCAAGATGATCTTTATACGTTCAGGCCTGAAAATTGATGGACCATGGAGAAAACTCTAGATAGACAACCGTTATCAAAAGAGATCTTTCGTTCATAAATTATTTGACATTTCATTATGAACCTCAGAAAACATATACAAAAGGTTATTAATATGATACACCAGAAGTTGTTCACAATTTACACTTGTAGACACTTGTGGACATTCTTGTTCAAAGCAAGGATGATGGTTTTGGGTTGCCAACTTAGGAGGCTCTTGAAAACAGTGATTCTACATTTAGGCTCAAAGCTGTCATGAATTGAGTAAGATTATTGCTGATATATCATGACACCGATTTTTTTCTGCAAATGTTCCGTTACAAAAAGTCCAACTCTTGGACGCAAAATGTCGTATAACAAAAACCTTTTAATGAGGGGATCAGAACTGTTCTGCAAGGACTCAATGCCAACTGTGATAACCTTCTTTTCTTTGCATCATAGGAAAACATGAATGTTGGCAAGTTTGAGTTCATATTCACAGAGAAAACCACTCTTCACAGTTCTTCGGCTTGTTTGCTTCTAAAAATTGTTGGAGATTGCTTTACAACCAAAAAGCTTAAGGCTGAACCTGCACTCTAAATATGCCATGAGTCAATAAGGTGGTTGGCAAAAAGCATTTCATTTGTGCAAATAATGTTTTAAGGTTCAAATAGTTCTAATTCATTTAGATAAAAAGGTGGCAAAAATGGACATAAGGCTGCGCTTGGTTCCAATGCAAATGCAAATATGTACACTACATATTTACCCATTTTTCGGTTCATGGATGCAAACACGGTTCACATTTTAAACCGTTTTTGCATTCATCTTGTTTGTTTGAAATCGGCGCAAAAGTGTAGGCCCATCATTAAATGCTCCAACTATCTTATGCTCCAATGCATCAACTTTGGTCAAAAAGTTAATTATCAAAAAAACACAAAATTGTATCCAAAAAATAGGTACAGCAATGCTCTCTTCTCAGAGTACAAAACTGTCAGAAAATACATTTTTACTCTGATAATCATTACTTTTTTACGTTTCAAACAAACGCTCACAAACACGAACCGGAGTACATAAATACCCCGGTTCGGCATTTGTATCACAAACAAACGGAGCCTAAATTACAGTGAATCAATACAAAGCATAAAGTTGATCGGTACAAAACACTTGATACTCCCCTCAATGCCAACACGAGTTTCCTTTCCCAATTGAACACAACAAAGGAAACAAAGAAATGTCTACTTATTATCATCAAGGGTTAATAGATGTACAGTCAGGTTAGGTTGCTAAGTTGGTAAGGTCTATGAGGAGTTTGTACTCTCTCTCTCTCTCTCTCTCTATGTATATATTAATTTTTTAATAGTTGAATGAATTTTTATTAGATGATAAAAGAATGATACAAGATATGACAAGCATCCCTCTGAATAGGATGTAAAAAGCCATCTCTCCCTTGCCTTGAATTATGGTACCATACATGTGGGTTCAACTCATTTTCACCCGTTAAATGATACCTAGCCTGGTAAAAAGCCACTACCCAATGTTGATCCCAGCTATCTTGGGCCTTGGGAGGGGTGGACTAGATATAGACCTGACATTTTTTTATCAATAACTGGAAATTGTAATATGAAGAGCTATACTCGAAGTAGCAAGGAAGAAAAGAGAATGACAGAAAAGAAGAGAATGTCGAACTGTACTAGCCAATCGACCAGTTCTTTATTTATAGATGAATATAGTACAAGGTACAAGAAATTATTGGGATGCCCCTGATTAGTGATGGGACACCCAGATGACTTAAATCATTAAACAGGATTAGGCC